CATTATCGATCCTTCCAATGAGCAATCAGGGTTGATTTCCTTTAAGATTGACTGGTTTGGGTATAGACAGCTATCTTTCACGTTTGGGAGGAAACAGAGGGCTGCAATGTGCTGGGTGATGGTGCAAAGAGACTGTGTCAATGTTTCTCAACCTTAGCAACTTTAAGATGAGTGGACTTCAGCTCCCCACATGCTGGCTGGGGAATTCTGGGAGTTGAGGTCCACTCATCTTAAAGTTGCTAAGGTTGAGAAACATTGGACTACATCCTTCAGGAGCAGGTGCAGGAGTAGTCAAAAAATCAGGACGGGGACCACAATGCTGTGACCAAGGGCCACACTCTTTTTTTTTTTTATTTTACCACATGTTGGATGTACATATGGCCTATGGACACCCCCAATGGCCAGGATCTTTCTTCCTTATTTTCCTTGAATTTGAAGGCCTTTTTAAAAAAGCCCTCTCAAAGTTCCATGAAGTCTATTTTAGGGCTTATAAAGCTGTTTCCATTAGTTTCCTGTCTCAAAAAAGTGGGAGACCAAACCCTCTTATGAGTGGGTTAACCATGGGCCTGTCTGTGGAATGTCTTTAGGAAAATAGATTGATCCCTATTTCATTCAATTGAGCCTTTCCAATTCATCCTGAAGAGTTAAGCTGCTTTTCAAACAGGTGGGACTGTGTGGGACAGTTGTGATTTTGAGGTCACAGGGTTTTTTTTTCCAGGAGAAGCAACATTGGGCAGCCCGTGTAAAGGAGGCCAAATGAGAAACATTTGCATAATTGTTTTTATTTTGCGTTTTCCTTCTTGAATTTTCTCTGCTGAGGGAAAAGAAGGATCTCTAGTTGTTGGAAAGGGCACACTGTATTCAGCCAGACCTCTGGCTTCTGTGATTTTCAGCCAAGCATGGCCTATAGGATTTCAAACACATCATTAACCATGAGGGCTACAAGCTTGCTTTAAAAAAAGAAAGTGAAGATTCTCAGGAAGTCAGATTTGTAACCAATAGTGTCCCCCCCCCTTTCCCCCCCCATTCCTACAGAATTGTGCTTGTATTTTGCTGTGGTTTAGATAACAGAGGCCCTCCAGTATATCTGTTGTCAGCAAGTGTGCTCTTTTATTTTCCAGCTGCCTATATATATATATACCATGTCTTCCCCAATGCTTTCAGAACCCTGCACAGAAATAAATGGTTTATAATCAAATAAATGTGCTGCAGCAGCAAAAACCTAGAGGCAAAGAAGCAGACGCAGGTGTATTTCTGATGGGAAGGGATGCAGATAAAAGTTAGCCAGACCATGGAATCAGTCCTTGCTACTTTTAATTCTTAATTCTTATTGTTTCTTTTAATTTTTCAAGGTCATGTACAAATGGATGGCTGTAGAAATTGAAATGACAGATAAAGTGAAAATAAATTTCATCCCTTCTATTTGATCCATGGATCTGTTTGAATAGTTTTAGACTTTTCTGTTCTTCCTTCCTTCACAGCCCTCAGGAATACAAATGGGAGAAGGATGGTGTCGAGACACCCTTGTTGGACGCTCAGGATAATATCCTTATCTTCCCCAACTTAAACAAAAGTGACAGTGGGACATATATTTGCTATGCCTCAAATATTATGGGCATCTCCACTGCGAGATACATCCTATCTGTTAGTGGTAAGCCATTTTTTGTAGCCCCAAGGCAATATATGTTGTGCCTCTTTGTCCAATTTTCCCACCACAACAACCCTGTTGGGTAGTCTGGGCTGAGAAATAATGACTGGCCCCAAGTTAGCCAGTGCGTTTCTATGGCCAAGGCTAAATCTGAACCTAATTCTCTGTAGCTGGAAGTCCAGCACCTTCATCATTGCGCCATATGGGTTTTTTTTAATGGGCTCTAAGCTGGTTGGATTTTCCCAGTAATCAAGACCCTGATATTTGAGTTTCAGAGATGCTTGGTGCTAAATTGTGGTTTTCAGGTGTTTAAGTCCCATTCCTTTGCTGATCTTCTTAATTGGTCCCCAGGATCTGAGCGATCAAGCTCCTCCCGGCACCCAAATAATTTGGACTTTTCTGAAACTTCTCCAAAAATATAGTCCAAACTGGGCTTTCCAAATCCACCACAACTTAGGTGCAGTTTCACACCGCATGGCATGTTATTTATTTATGCCTGTTGATGGGCTGACGACTCTCCAAGGAAGTTGAAAAAGTTAGCAGAAGAGAAGTGCTCTCCATGGTGCTGATGTTTGTCAGTGATGTAAACCGGAAATGTCTCCTTCGAGTCAATTTTGTGCCTTGGTGGCTTCAGGGAGACATCCGCATCTTTTTCTTGACAACACTATGGAATTGGGTTTCCCACTAACTTCTAGGACATTTCTCTAGACTTCAGTCTAAAAAGTGTAAGTGGGATGGAAGGGACATCCAACCTTTCTTAGAGGGAGCATCTGGTAGACCTTGGCTGATCTTAAAGAAGCTAAGCAGAATTGGAACTGAGTTGTGTTTTGATGGGAGATGATCAAGAAATGACCAAGGCAGTGAGTTAGGCTGGGAAATTGGAAAATGCATCCCAGAAAAAAACAATTAGAAAATGACTTCTATACTGCTGCCAAGACAACGACCTGGCTTGCTCATGAAGTCACCAGGGGTTGAAATCAGCCTGAAAGAGACTTTATCTTCTTGTAGATATAACTAGAATCTGGATTTGATAGGTCTTTGTCAGACTTGCTGTCCCAATGGCAGTGGTGTCCATAGCAGAGGGGGTCAGAAAAGACAAGGATGTGGTCATGGCATCACAATCAAAGTTCTGCCCCTTTTTTCATGCAGAAACCCCTGCACTGTGGCTGATGTGATGGAGGCTGATACCTCTTGCTTGAGTCAGGGAGAAAAAAATCCAGTGGTATGTTTCATCAGTATTAAAGAGAGCCCTTTGAATGACAGTGAAATTGTTCAGCACCGCCCTATAGAATAATCTCTTTTTCTGCCGATTCTTTCAGCAAGCGAGCTGTGGCACACAAGGAGAAGGTCTGAAGGAATAGTGGAATTTAGGAGTGTTAACTTTGGGCTTCTAATTGGGTTGGACTCCCTGGCAGGATAGATTTTGGGGAAAGGGAGGTGGGTTCAAAGAGAGGACTAATCTTGGGCACAAGCCAACATCATGGCGCTAGGGTAGCATAATGTCCCACTACAATGGGGTTGAAAGCCAGCCTCAAGACCTCCTAATCCTATACCAGCTATTTCAACTACCTCAAAGGGTTGTTGTGGAAATAAAAATGGTGACGAACGTGCCAGCATTTATCAATTCATTTACTTATTGCCAATGTCTCTACCCTAGTTTTCTGCAACGGGGGGTTGGGGGGAGGAGGCAGGAGATCATCCGGGTTGGAAAGGTCATTAACCCAAATAAACATCATTAAAAATTAACTTCAGACAATACCACAGTCATTAAAAATTAATCTAGAGCAATCTAATAAAGGGTTTAATTTTGTTAAGAACATTGGCCTGCCAGGGGTTTTCTGGTGGACACAAGGAGAGAAGGATATCCATACTTGTCCTGGTTAGCAACTCTTGTGGCACCAGCAAACCTGGGGGAAAGCTAAATTGAACTCCCCAAGAGCTCTCTTAGCTCTGTACAGTCAGGAACTGAATATGGAGAATCCAGAAACATTTAGTTTCGATTTCATTTTGGCCAAGAACTCAAAGATGGTCATGGCTCTTTACCTTTCTTAATTCCCTCCATCCAGGAATGGGGGAAATTACCTTAGATAACTTGGTGAAGTTATTACAAAGCCACACACTGTACTTGGGCAGCTTTCTGACCCTATAACAATGCTATGCCAATCGTCGTCATTTTAGTCTGTCAGTGTTTAGACAGGTTTAGCACGTATTTTCTGTATAATTTAGAATTGCAACTCTGACAACATTTGTAACCCATTCTGGGAAATCTTTGTTTTGAAAGGTGGCGTGTGCATCTTTAAAAGAAATGCCCAAATTAATGGAGAGAACAGTGTTTCTGGGAAGGAAGAATAATATTGTGCATGAGCAAACGTAGCTATGGATTAAAGCAGTCTTTCTCAACCAAAGCCACTTTAAAGAGTGTGGACTTCAACTCCCAGAATTCCCCCAGCCAGCATGCTGGC